AGCAGAGGTTGCTTTCACTGTCTGAAGCAGTCATCTTAGGGCAGTGACTTGCTTTCCTAAAGGCAGAGCCCAGACTTTTCCTTGCAAAATCCTGAAAACTGATCTTTTTTGCAAATAATAGGCAGCTTAAGATGGACAGAGTTTACAAGGAAATAGTGGGATATTGTTCTTATGGGCTCAGGTTGTCCCTCCCACTTTAGTGTGACATGGATTTATGGCCAAACTGGGTGGCTGGCAGTTGTGCACATTACTGTGGAGATTGAGGCCTGGGCAGGTAGTTCTGCTGGGGTCTGGGCCAAGACTCACTTCTGTGTTTCTAGCAGGTGGAAACCACAACTGTTGCAACAAGACAATTAAGTGGCTTTCTGAGGACACTTGCAGACCAGCTAGAGGGCACCAAAGAACCCCTTTCATCAGACATGAAGAAGGATTTTGTTATGCACAGACTCCCCCCTTACTATGTGGGAGATGGAACAGAGCTGTCAACACCAGGTGGAGCTTGCTGTTTTCTTCTGGGTGGTTTGGGGCTAATGCGGGATGTTTGAGGCTTTCCTAGGTAGGCTCCTTTGAGCAGATGGAAAGTGTGAAGCACTTTAGTGCCAATGTGGACCTAAATCTACCCTTAGTGTGTATGGCTGAAGGAGATGTGCTATCCTGCATCTCAGAAGTCATTTGTGTGATGGGAAATAAGAGCCCTATCTTTTTGGGTGAGAAATATGTGTATTTATGGGTACCCTGGTATTCGTTTATCTTCAGGAAGTTTTAAGAACTAGAACATTGAAATAATCTTGTTGGAATTAAGTCAGGAATGGGTAAAATGTTGCCATGAGCAGCTGAAATACAAGACTGCCCAAGGTTATCACAGACCTTCTCCAAGTCATAGGTTGACTAATTTATGACAGTTTAGGCTGCAAATGATGTAACATACTTGTGTCAACGTCCTGTAGCAAAGACCACCAAGAACATATTCCTGAGCTCAGACAAAAGTTGGGCCTACTTGTTACAACAGGGAAGACCATGCACCATTGGGAATTGTATGGCATCTGAATAGAAGGTGTTATGAAGGATTTGGGCTTGAATTAGGTGGTTTTGGAAGAAGGGCTTTGCTCTGGGTTGGATGCTGTGAGGAAATGAGGAAACAGAAGGGATTCTGTGATTAGGTCTCTTCTACGTCTTAATCTAGTAGGCAGGAGGAACGTATGAGATTAAAGTTATTGGTGGTAAAGCTGCAGCAGTCACTCATATTAGCCAGGGTACAGGGATGTGTTTGGTCATCATTGTGCCCATTTTTGCCTGAGTTCAGACCTGAGTATGGAGTGGTGGTGTTTTTATCTTGAACTGTCATGGTCACAAGGTGGTCTTGACTGATGTTGGTGTTCCATGAAATTGTGTTCAGTAGAACACCAAGATCTCCAGGGCTGCTGTTCTTTCTCTAGGGTTAAGTGTGAGGAATATTTTTTGTTAACTTTTATAAAAGTTTTATTTATCACTAGGTAAGAACAATTGAAATAGACAATCTAAAGTCCTAAAAACATGGATTTTAGATACATTTTTATTATAATCTTTGGAAGTAGTTTAGAATTTGTTTTGAATTGCATCTATTAATATTCAAAATAGCCAAGTGTTTTACTAGCACATGTTTTAATCTTTAGCAGTACAGAGTTTGCTGAATACCAACTTATGGCCGAGAATACTTTATGGAAGATAATGGCTAAGACAAGAAAAACGTTAGTTATGATCCATCAAGACTCTTTCCACACCCTGATGACGCTGTATGGCTAGTCTGTTTTTAGTGGCTGCCTTTTCACTAAGTAATTCCAGTTTAGAAAAGAGTAGTTGTTTTTTTTTGTGTGTGTGTGAACTTTATTAGATGGCTTCTGTGGGATACTGTGCTTGACGTACATAGAATAATTTGCCAGGGTAACACAACTAGTAATTGGTAGAGAGGTGCAATTTGAACTCAGGTAGTCCTTCCAGAGTGCACATGTAGAGCAAGAAGCCTGTAGAGCAGTGGTCCCCAACATTTTTGGCACCAGGGACGTTTTTCCACGGACGGGGTCAGGGTGGAGCTCAGGCGGTGACGCGCGTGATGGGGACTGCTATAAATACAGATGAAGCTTCCCTAGTCACTTGCTGCTTACCTCCTGCTGTGCACCCTTTTCCCCCAAGTTTCATGGAAGACAGTTTTTCCATGGGGGTGGGCAGAGGGGAGCTCTGAGGCCTGGTCCCTAACAGGCCACAGACCAGTATCAGTCTGTGGATGGGGGGTTGGGGACCACAGTTGTAGAGGATAGAAACTGGAGGGGTGTGCATTCTGTGCAGAAGGCACCACAACACTATTTGTTGCAACAGCCACTGTGCCTCAATAGTATTATTTATTTCTATTTAATGTACTTATTGTCTTGTTATTTGTCTAATTGTATGTCTGCTTTCACTTTAAGAATGAATTCCATAAGAATGTGAACTATACTTTTAATATCACTGTAATGTTGGTATAAGCAAAGACTTGAGTTGGAGAGGGTGCCCCGTGTTTGGAAATCCACATGCGGGCAAGTTTGAATCTGCTGGTGTCCTTTTCTGAAGACTGTCTTTCTCTCTTTTTTCTAGGTGGAAAGTTACCGAGGTTAGACAGCATAGTAAAGCTGCAATTTAAAGATCACATCATCCTCACAGTAGGGCCGGATCAGAATCCATCTGTGAGTATCGCTTCTCAGGGTATTTTCATCATAGGCCTCAGTCACCAGATTAACCATTGTTCCCTGCCCTTCTCCTTTGGGAATCCACCTGTGTTCAGTTCAATGCCACCTCTTCAGGTCAGATAATGCCCAAATATCACTGTGCCAGTTCCATATTTTCCTTCCTGTTGGGCATTTGAGGGCTCGCCTTCATCCCCACCGAACCCTCCTTCACTCCCCTTATGTGGTGATAAATGTCTGTTCCTTGCTGCTCATCTTACTTCAGGCCGTGTTGCTTTGTGCATGGACAAGTGAAGACCCCATTCTGAGTCTTCCTGCTTCTGTCCCTCTCCAGTCCTGTACACTATACGGATCTATTTTTATTGGTGGTTTTGCTGATGCTTCTCCTTAAACTATCATATAGATCATGGAGAACAAAATCGACATTCTGTAACCTGGCCACCTAGTGCAGTGATTCCCAAAACTGACCATGGAATCAACTGGAAATCTTTTTAAAATCATAATTTCCTGGGCTTCATTTGGTCTTAGAGCCTTTGCATTTGTTTTTGTAAAGCTCCCTGTACAATCCTAAGGACCTTTGGAACTATCTCACACCATATGGCTTCACCCTGTTGCTCCTAATCAGCTCTCTTGGGAGTACCCCGTGAATGATTGCAGGGGATGAAGGGGGCTTGCATGGCCCCATCCCCAGATTGGTCCAGCTGTCAGGGCCAGACCTAGAGAGGACTGATTTATAATATATATGTAAAACCTCAGAAGTATATACTCTTACATCCCTATATATAGAAAATAGTGATTTTGATACCCAGTTTGAGACATTGTATGTCAGGCCAAGGTTTTTGGTCCTTATCTAGGAGGTGACAGGCAATAAACTGCACTGTGTAGGACAGGGGGTGAAGGGAATCAGGGACCATTTGGGAAGCTACTGTAATTAAAATGGAGTCTTGACATCACACAGCTAGAATATCTCAAGAGTTAATCACTCCATGGTGTTCATAAATTGATTTTTTTATGCAAAGATGACTATACAGGTATGATTAATAGGAGAAATTGAGTGTTTCAATGAAAATTGATATATAAATCATCTTTCTTTAAATCAAGTTCCTGAAGAGGCTCTACCAGTTAGCACTGTTTTATCTTTAACAAAGTGACTTAGAATGACCGTTAATTGCCATGTACAAAGAGTAATCTGTGGTGACTAATGAAGTATAGACATTGTGTGTACACACAATGTACATACACATAACTTTTTGCCAAAAGGATTCTTTACAGTATTCAATAAATTTCACTTGAGCCCTGAGGCTTTCAAGATGACTGATAAGAAAACCCTCCTAGTATTGAATCCCTTAATGTTTTATTGTTGATGACCTAACACTTTTTCTCCCCCTAAAGGATGAAGCTCAAGAAAAGATGGTTTACATCTATCATTCCTTAAAGAATAGGAGAGACACACACATGATGGGAAATGAAGAGGAAACAGAGGTTTGTTCCAACTAAAAACAAATATCTTGTCCTGTGATTTGGGTGGTGGCTGGGAACAATCAATATTTTTGATATATAGATAATGTGCTTTTTATGGCTGCAGTGCAGACTTACCATTCACCCAATTGACAGAACCCTTGCATGATTCAGTCAGTCAGTTTGATGCATATACACCAGTTTTAAAACATGCTAGCTGGGACCTGTAGCCTTATAGGAAAGGTATAATGTAATAAATATGAAGAATTTCATATGACTAGTATCACTTAGTATGTAAATTAGCCTTTCATGAAGTCTAAGCTTTCACATAAGAGTTGGCAATTTTTGTTATCTACTTATAGTTTATCTAAATAACTGATCAGAAACAAGTTTCATATTTATGAAGGGTATCAAAAATAATGATGTATTGAGAATTATAGAAGTTTATGAAAATGCCACTTCAGTGACATAAGCAGTATTTTTTTCTTTTGACTAATTTATCCTTTTTTCAGCCTCATGGACTTCGCTTTCCTTTATCACATTTGGATGCACTGAAGCAAATTTGGAACAGTTCAGCTATTTCTGTCAAGGACCTGAAACTTAAGACAGATGAGGAAAAGGAAAGCCTGGTATTATCCCTCTGGACAGAATGTTTAATCCAAGTAGTCTAGTGCCCTTATCTACTATTTTATATGCACATATTAAAAGAAAATTGAAGAGTCAGATGGAGTAGGTTGAATGGCTACATACATGAGACCACCTCCCCCTTACAGGTAGTCTATGGGCCATATGTACAAAGGCACATGGAAGAAAGAACAGCAAATTACCAAGAGTCCCACAAAGTGATAAAAACTATACTTTTGACAAGTTTATTTAATCCAGTGTGGTAGAAAAGGCACAACTCCAATAAATGTATCATTTAGAATTAAATGTTAACCTGGCTTTATCTTTGTTCTTTGGAAGAAACAACTTCTTTAAAGAGCCTCCTCAGCAGCTCTAGAAAAATTTTAAACAATTAACAGGAGAAAAATTTTTAACTTGGTTTTTTACAATGAAAATATACATACCTTTATGTATACACAAGCCCACCCATTAAAATAAAGTTATTCCTGCAACATAAATTTCATTAAATAATACTGCCACACCAGTGAGAGGCACTCAACAGCTATGGACATAAGGGAGTTTGATAGACACTGCTTAAAAGATGACAAGAGAAGAGCCTGAGATTGAGGGGGAAAACCCAATATTTACATGGAAAGACCAAGTCTATAAAAAATATTCAAAATAGTGGGTCTTTGAGTTTAAACTATTCACTGTTATTTTACATTCTAAAGTGCACATAGGTTATTTTTTAAAATATCACTGGAGAATTTAATCTTTCTATATAAAAATAGAGCATTTTTCTGCTTTCTGGCAAAAGTTGGGGATGAAAGGAATAGCTATCTCAATATAAGTTTAAATTCAACTCAGGAGGGAAAAATTCTTGTGCATTGTACAGTGGAAGGTGGTAAAGATGATTTCCTACCTTATTTCACTTAAGTATAAAGCTACTTAAAAACTGAATTTTCTGTCATTTAGCAGAGAAATCAACTCCACTTTTACTTGAAAACTAAGATGGTAAGGTCAAGGCTCAAATACATTTGAAATTTAAGTGACATAGTCCTTATAAACACCTCTCCTTGCAGGCAGATCAAACAAAATCTAGGGTGAAGTCTCAGCAGGAGATAGGTAGTCATTGTTAGAGTCTTGTCACCTAAAGGGATGTTTTTGTTAACACTGAAGAGTGCAAGGTTGACCAATTTTAGTTTGAAGGACTGAGTAAAGAATGGCCACAGAAAACACTCCTTGTGCCTTTTCCTAGCAAAGCTGAGGCCCCCCTCTGGGGCTCAGTTACAAGTATATATACATTAAGGGATGTGCCAGTTATAAAAGCCTCAATATAGAAACTTTAAGGTTTATCTAATACAGCAGCTTAATAAAAAGGTTTATTATATATGATTTCAGATGTTGCTAAAAATTACTCTGTTTTGCAAAAATATAACTAGACTTATAGTAAGGAATCTGTTTCCCTGTGCCTTACATTCATACAGGCATCTAGTAGGATATTAATAACTAATACAGGATGATGGCATCACCAGTGTCCTGTAATAGGCTATCAGGAATAGGATTCATGTTTGGTGGACAGGAGAGAATACAGACTTCAGGGAACTTGCTCACCACAACTGGAGATCAATCAGGAATAGAACCTTTCCCAGAAAGCGTAACATTTTCTCCATAGGAACACTGAGTAACCGGCAAGAATATTTTTGGCTTTTCCATGGTTAAGAGCTTGGGAGAGAAGTCCTTTCTGCTCAGTGATCCAAGAGTGTGAGGACAGTAGCCTCCTTGCCACATGGCAGGACAATGAGGGATGTGGGTTTGCTGCTTCTTCTGGTCTTTCTAAGGATGCAGTTGATTCTCTCACAATATTTCAATGTCCCATTTCTGTGTTTCTTCTCCCTCCAGGGGCTGATTTACAATTACATGAGTCTTGTCACAATAATTTCCTCCTGAAATAGAAATTCCAAAAGAAAGGATTATTTGTTCACACAGGTGCTTAGCAATTTCACAATTTTCACAAGCTTTTGTTCAGCTCACTGTTTGGGTAGATTACTATGCCTTTTACAAAGCAGTCTAAAATGGGAAACTGAATTTGAACAGGCTTAGGCATTATTCACCTCAAATTGGACCTTATTATGACTCAAATTGAAAATCTAAAAGGCTTTTAGTTTTTTAAACAATGTGATTCTTCAGAACAAAGTACTCTGAGAAATTCTGGCTGAATGTCAGGTACTCTGTTTTTGTTTCTACACCAACAGTGACTGACTAATCCAATTAAAGCAACAGCCATGAATAATATTGGCCCTGACCTGGCTGAATTGAAAAACAAGGTTAATTGATACCTACCATACATTGTGACTGAGAGCTTTTTAAGGACCATGGCAATTCACAGCAAGAAGTTAGGGATGTTTCTTTCTAAGAAACATGATGTTTGTTTTATGATGCTTCAAGTTTAGAACTATTGTCAGTTGATGTAGCAAATGAAAATATTACAACCGTACTGATGAACAAAAACCTTAAATTTTGTTATTCGGCTTTTTCTGTTTGATCCATATTGATTGGTTTGTTCATAAAACTGCATATCTTAACTTCTTTCAAACATAATTAAGGGTGACTTAACATTTCTCTGTTACACACAAGGATGTCCTTTACCCAGAAGGAAGAGATTTGGAACTGAAACTGATATCATGGGGTGTCATCAAAAGCCCACCTTTAATATCAAGGACAAGTTGATCACTGAGATAAGAGCTGATAGTTCCATTTTTATTCAGTTTCCACTTCTGCCTGAATTGCCCATGTTCGGTCCACAGGGCCACTTTAGCTCCAGGTGTGTCCCGGCCACCAATCACATCAAGACATGTATCACTGGCCTAAAAGGGTTAAGAAATAATTAACTGGCAGTACTATGTTTGCTAAAATAAATGGAAGTGGTTCCCTTTTCTTTCAGGTGAACAAATAAGAGACATGAAATGGCTATGTTTTATATATAAAAAATGCTAATTTCAGTAAACCTGTTTTAAAGTTTTTTTATGGCTGGGAGGAGATGGTGTAGAAATAAACCTACTGAAAGACAGATACTTGTTTTTAATAGGAAGTCTGCATCTGGCAACAGATGTTCAATAAAGGTTGTTGAATTGGAATTAAATGTTAAGTCCCTGGTTTGCTTAAAATGTATTATGTCAATCTTTGTTTTCTTATAAAAATGCTAGGTGATATCCAGACAATAATTACTTTTACATTTTCATTTTTAAAGCATAAGGAAAAGTAGATAATCCATTGGTGATACAAGAAAACACGGGTTTGATGTATTTAAGCTATTGCTCTATTCCCTTAGCATCAAACATAATGTAGATCATAGAAAAAAACCTAAATTTTATTTTTTAAGCTTCCTCCAATAACAGGTTTTTTTTTTTCCCTACTGCTACTTCATTGTGCATCTTGAAAAGGAAAGGCTTTCAATGTGTTCTGGAATTGCACAGTCAGCTGATTTTTACCTGGGCAATCAAGTAAGAAACATCTCACAGAAGCACGTTGTCCAGTTGCGATCCAGTGACTTAGTATCTTTGGCTTGAAATAATCACTTAGGCATGTCCATAGTATGTGATAACCTTAGTTTTTACCTAAGAATTCAAACTGGATTTTCTAGATCAAAAAATTCTCAAAAGTCCATTTGACTTAAATGCTCTAGTAATATACATGGCAGTATTTTTATGATCATACAATGAACTGTTTCCAAGAAGTTACATTATTTTATCATGCCAGTTGATTTGACAAGATTCTTGTTTCCAGAAGAAGAAACCAAAGACCAGAAAGTACCGTGTCAGTGAGGTCATGTACCTTGGATTTAAAGAGTCCTCGACAGTAGTGCCAGATCTGAGTATTCTTTCCACTGTAGGGAGAGATGCACACGGATGTTGCCCTTGTGTCAGCCAGATTTCCAGTGACTGTCAAATACTCATCCTGGGCTCGGTTCTTTATTCTGATGTACACTGCAGGCTGTGGCGGGAGAGAGACAGAGCCATTTGGAAACAACCCTTTGAATCTGGAAATCAATCCTTCTAAAGGAGGACAGCTGGGAGGGGAGGTGGGAAGCGACTAGTTTATTTCTATCAAGTTTCACTGTTACTCCCTTTAGCATTTATGTATAAATTAATATTTTCCATTGACAAATCTTTAATGCATAGAGCACAAGGCTTAAATTGTACATTCTCTATTATACTTTCTGAAAAGTGCCCTTTCGAAAGGGTATAAAGTAATGGTTTCATTCATAAAACTCTGTGGCAAGAGGTGGGGTGGTGAAGAATTAGGGGACTGATGAATATCATTCAGTAACTGTGTCCCACAGGCCTGAGGGTGTTAGGGTAGTGGGAGTAAGGGCAAGGTACTACCCATAAGGATCTTACAACTTCAGAAAGATAAGTAAAACAATCAGACATACTATTCTTGAGCTATGATTAAATGCTAAAAGTCAGCTATGGGAGATCCTGAAAAACCCAGATAGCTGCAGGACCTAGTAGCTCTGGTAATCTCTTTGTTTATAAAAGATTTTTATGTTTCTTTTCAAAGGAAAGACTATGTATGTTTAGTCACTACTTAGCTATTCAAAATTGGGTAACAAAGGACTTCATCCCCTTGTCCTGGAAGCTTTAAAATACATACAGGAAGTTTTAAAATAAAATATTAAATCTGGGACTTGCCTCTAAGGATAATAGCTAATATTTATTGGCCACTTAGTATATGTCAAGCAGCATGCTAAATGCTTTCTGTGCCATTATGTATTTGTCAGAATGAATAACCAGAACAACCCTTTAAGAAACTACTATTGGAGGCTGGGAGGGGCGACTCACTCCTGTAATCCTAGCACTCTGGGAGGCCAAGGCGGGAGGACTGCTTGAGGTCAGGAGATAGAGACCAGCCTGAGCAAGAGCGAGACTCTCTCTACTAAAAATAGAAAAATTAGCCAGGTGTGTGGCATGCACCTATAGTCCCAGCTACTCGGGAGGCTGAGGCAGGAGGATTGCTTGAGCCCAGGAGTTTGAAGTTGCTGTGAGCTATGACGACACCACTGCACTCTACACTCTACCCAGGATAACAAAGAATCCCTCCCCCCCCACCAAATACTGTTAAGACCCGAGTTTCATGAATAAGGTGAGCACAGATGTGGAAAAGCCACATCTGTCTGCACCACAACCCTTGCTCTTAACCAGGATGCTCTCAGGCCTGTGCTGACATGCGCTAGTCACTCTTAGGCACAGGAAATAAGAGACCAGCCAAATCCACAGGTGGCAGTGTAAGACAATAAAAGGGTAAGGCACGTGGTCAAAGCTCCACAGAAACCATTCTTTTAGTCTCATGACTCAGGCATCCAGCTTCAATGTTACAAAATACAGGAGACCAAACATCCTCATCCTCACCTTGGGCTGGGTGTCCGCTCCCAATTAGAACCTTGGCTGAGTTATGACAACAAACAGTATGTTACTTAATAAGAGAGCACTTTCACTCTGAGAAACTAAGTGCTAGGTAAATAAGCAACATGGTATTACAGTGAGACCACCAATGAATAGCTTACTATTTTTTAAACTTATGGTAGATCAACATGAGGCCAGGCGAATTTTAGTAAACTGCTGCCATGTTTAGCATTCCTAAGGAAATAAACATTCTGAGCACTTAAATAAGCCAACAGAAGGACAAATTCTCTGGCCACAAAAGCAGGTGAAAAAAACCTCTACTTGGCAAAATGTTTTAAATGTTTAAAACCCCTACTTCCACATTCATAATGCAACAGTAATGTACTTAGATTTCTATAATCCAGGCTGGTATCCCACTGCAATTATTAATTCTTGAGGCTTCAGTATATCTTTATTACATTTTCATTACCATGTACAGATAAGAAAACAGGCGTGACCTTCACAGATGACAGAATTCCAATTACTTTAGGACCAAACATCACAGTTTTAATCAATTAACTCAAGCAAGGTACTAATTACCCTTATTACACATTGTAGTCTGACTCCTCTGTAATTATACTTAAAAACACTGATATACATTATAAGTACCTTAGTGACTTCCTAATTCCCAACCTCAAAGAGGGATCACATTTTAATTAGTCCTGAATTTTGAAACAAGAATATGAACTAAAGCAGTACCAACGACCCTACCATAAAAGTTAAATGTGACCCATAAACAACTATTTTAGAAACCAGAATACCTTTACTGAGTTTCAGAGCTATGACCCAAATAAGTTAACGGAGAAAACACTATCTATTAAAATATTATTTTGATATTAAATGTTTAAGCAGAATAAAAATCAGATAGTTATTTCTTAAAGCATGAGGGAAGAAAACTATCATTTTTATTGTCAACAAAGCTTCCTTATAAAAGTAGAAGCCATTGTTCTAGCTGTCCTTCTTCTCAGGACCCTGAAGAGACATCCTCCTTCCCCCAAAAAAGGAACCACCATTCAAAAATTAGGAAAATATTCTCAGTGTTAAACTTGGCTACTAAAATTTCTAACAACATAGGAATATCATTATTATGTAGTTGATAAAAGCCTAAATTGAATTCCCACTTCTACCTTGCTTTTTCCTATAGCTTTTCAGTGAGATTACTCACCTCCCACACAACAGGAGTCAGGAATAAGCAAGATACATAGGTTATGATATGTAGGTCCTATACCACATACTCTATGCCAGGAAAGCCACTAATGTTTTAGTATGCCTTGGAAGAGCATCTCTGGTTCTTTCAAGGGACATTGTGAAGGATAAAATTTTGAAATAAATGTATTACTATAGTAATTTGAGCCAGATGTTATACCACACCCTTTACATACATTCTCTTATTTAACCTGCACGGCAATGAGATGTAAGCATTGTGATCACTGTTTCACCAGAGAGGAACCTGAGGTGCCAAGAAATGAGTCGCACTGCTTACAAGTGGCAGAGCTAAGATTTGAACCATGAGTGGTGGGAATGAGCTTGGTGTGTGTGCACGTGTGAAGGGGATGGGAGATCACTTAGGCTAATTTCCTATTGGCTACCATTCATTTAACACTTAAACAAGTGTTACGTGAGTGTTGGGTCAGAACATCAGAGCCTTGGCATCTATATCCACTATGCTACACTCAGCTTAGTGCCTGAAATATACGGTGACACTCCATAAATGATCTCATCCTGGCGGTAAGCAGAGTGTGGTTGCTTAACAGATTTTAGAGCACAATAGATTTGGGTTCAAATTCTGATTCTGACATTTGGATGACTTTTGCAATGTGCCTTACCTCTCTAAGCCTTGTTTTCCCACCTAGAAAATGGGGACTATAATTCCTACCTCAAAGAACGACTGCAGGAATCAAGTGAGAAAGAGTTTCTAAAGAGATCAGGGAGAGGTAAAACTTGTGTGTCCGCTGACCATCACACCCTTGACCGTCTCGCTTGGATTTTCTACTTCTAGGAAACCTCCCCATCACTCCTGTATACATTCATACTCCTTTTCTCCAAACCAGGCATTGCCAGTGGCTTTTTGATGAATATACATTGTTTTGAATTTCATGTTACTGCTTTGAGTTGGACATGTTTTACCCAACAGAAACTTAAGTTCTAATAAGGCAGAAATCACATCTATCTTTATATCTTCCATTATGCTTTGCACAATATCAAACATGCTTTCATCCATTTATACATTAATTCTTTCATTACACAGACCCCGCGCTCCTACAACGTGCTAGACATGAAAGGCATGAGGGGCAGAGCAATAAGCAAAATAATGCACAGCCATAGTCTTCAATCCAACCTAAATGTACAATTATAAACCACATACAGTCTCATGCAGAGAAAGAACCAGATCTTTCAGGATCTAATTTAGATTGGGAGAGAAGGTGGGGGAGGAATCCTTGAAGACAGACACTGACACTGAATTTAGAGGGATGAGTAGCCAGGTGAAAAATGAGGGAAGAACCCTCTACAGGGCAGAGGGCACAGCCCGTGTGAAGCACCTGGGTGGGAAAGCACTTTGCATTTTGGTGCACGTGACATGGCCACGCAGGAGACACGGTGGGAGAAGCAGGCGTGTGGATCGCACAGGCTGTGTTGAAGAGTAGATTGTATCCCAAGTGCAGTGGGAAGCTTTTGAACATAAGACTGACAAGCAGTAGGTGTGCAATAAATACTATTTTAATTAAATTGCCAGGATCTATCCTGAGTATTATATAAGTAGGGAGAAAAAATCCAAACACTTAGAAAGTAAAACTAGTACAGTATCAAAGTTCATTCCTGTTTCTATGGTTTTCCAGAGCTTACTACATCATAGCTTTCCATGAAGAATGAACATGGCCAGTTAAGACTCAAAGCTAAAATCCAATGTTGACCTTGGATACAGTTTTACAAATTGGTTAAAATCTACAAGATTCCCCTATCCTAATCCCACACTCCTTGGTACATAAATGGCAAACTAAAATTAAATTTCAAATGCTGGGGTGTGTGACATTTCTACCAGAAAATCAAGCTATTTGGGATCTTACGGTTCTTTTCTCCTTACCTGCTTCATGGGCCGGAGGGAACCGATTGTTTTCCATCCACTGAATGCTGTCCAATTTGGGATCTCATCAGGTTCAAGTAGGATTTGTCTTCCCAAGAAATTGGATCCTTCATAAGCTATCCATCTATAAGAGAGCAGGAAAGAAAAAAAAAAACAGGCTACTTCAAAACAAAAAAACAATCTCTTATCAAAAATACCTGCTATTATACCTTACAGGGTTCATAAGCTTCTAGGTTTGCAGATTCTTTTTTTAAAAAAGATAGAATTAGGCATTTTCTTCTTAGCAGAAATATCAGGGAGGTCTAGGAGAAGGCCCGCTGGACTGGAGTCAGAATATGTGGATTCCAGTTAGAATGTGGGTTTTCCATACTTCATGAACGTAAGGTTCCTTCCATCTCTGAAATTCTATATTCTTTTGATAACACTGAGTCTTTTTTCATAGCATTTTAACATTCAAAGACAAACTATAACCTCCTATTTCAGGAGATAAAAACACTCTCCTGCCCTCAGGGTCATCACATGTCCTTCAGGGCCTCTCAGGCGGCTCCAGTGACCTCTCCAGACATACCTTCCTACACAATTCCTTGTATAGCTTCTCTAAGGCCACCCGGGACTACTTAAACAATTACCCACAGATAGTCCTCCATCTCACTCACTTTTACTTCAAGGCCTGGCTTTTTTGCACATCCTCCCCCAAACCCCAGCCTCCATCTGGCTGTGTTAAAGTGCATAAAAGTGCACAGGGCCTCAAAGTGAGTGTCTGCAGTCTCAAGACTTATTTAATGGAACACAGTCATACCCATTCCTTTACGGATTGGCTACACTGCTCTTGCACTACCATAGCAACCTCAGTGGTTGAGGACAGAGACAGATGGCCCACAAACTAAAACGACTATCTGGCCTCTTACAGAAAGTTTGCCAAGCCTTGCTTAAGGTGGCTACCAAGGTGGATGGCTAAGGAGAATGAGCTGCAATCACCAAGAGAACCTGAAATTCTCCGCAGCACTCAAGGTCATGGTACACAGGACTTTAAGAAAACGTGCAGAGAACAAGGTAGCTGTCTCACTTTACTCAAAGCACCTGGAAGTGTAGCAGGGGCTACCCTGCCTTGGACCCAGAGATCTGTAACCTTGGAGAAGGGGTGCAGAGTACCAGCAATGGAAAAGGGGGTCTGCCAGTCAAACGGACCAGTGCTCTGCAATGGATCATCTGGGGTTTAGGACATTTCTCGCTGCAAAGAGCTGCTTCTATGCTGCTGTGGCAGTAACTTCAGCCTCTCACTTGTCCAGATGAAAACTTCTAGAACTTACAAAGGGCAATATTCCTTAGGGACCTGTACCTCCATTCGTGCAGGAAAAGACATCAACTTGTACGTACGTTGTGGGGAAAATGAAGGAACTGAGGAAAGCTTGATGTATTAAATCTGTGGAAGCTTAGGTAGACAATACTGACCTAAATTGACCACTACTAAGAAAAGTCCACCTGTTCCCTACAACTGAGATCAGGCTTGGCCAAATTATGGATAGATGAACAAGGTGGTTGACCCTTCCTCGATCCCTTCTTGCCTACACAAATCTAAACAATTGGACAGGTGCAGACGCAGGTCAGCATGATCACAGAGACACTTAGCCACCTCTCTAACTTCACAGATTCTTTAAATAGGTGTGGAAGTTTCAGTTATAAAACCTAGGCAAGATTTTAAGAAAATGTACCTAATTATATATTGATCTAAATGAATGCCACAGTTTGAAAAACAGTGTGGGATGATGCCTGAAAGCATGGCCCTCATTACCATCACAGATCAAAGATATGGGATCATGTGGGGATTAAAAAACAAAACCAAAAAAACCCAACTTGTCACTGAGGGTAGCTGGCTGTGCATTAAATACCATCCTGTAAGCCATGTGTAGCCTAGAGTATCTCTGGACAGCCTTCACTATTTCCTTATTCCATGTACCAGTTCTCTTTTAGAGAATCTGGAATACTGAGAGTAGGTGGATAATAAGCCAAAGAGAAGAAATCAGAATGTCAAGCTGAAATGGCACCAGTTTTCCAGAAAAGAGCGAAATAGGAGAGTGAGAAATTTTCAGAGGTGAGTCACATATCAATTTCACTTGAAAATGTAAAGAAAAATGTACAAAAATGTTGTGAAGGTCCTATATCACAGGGATGTAAAATTAAGTTCAAATGCCCTTAGTTAACTGGTAAATAATATATTGGAATTTGTTATAGTAAACATCAAACTGCATAAAATGCTTTGCAGAAGAAAATTTAAGCTATTACACATATGTATGTATAATATAAAGTCTATCATTGTAATAGTGGACTTAATTTTGAAATCAACTTACATTCTTGACTTTCTCTTTCATTATCCCACATATTTAAATAAGCAGAGTCGATTATCATACAATTTAAAGCCATAAGAAATTTTCAAGAAGCTATTTTTATATTAACCATCAAGAGCTATGTGTTTTACTAGTTGACTTTTGGTACTAAAACACCAACAAGAGTATGGGCTGGCTTATATGCCAAACTCTTCAGAAATGGCCTGAGAGGCAGATTCTCCAGGAAGCAAATACAGCGTCAACTCCAGGGGCTCTCACTTGTGGGCCTCTCACCATTTGTGTTCTAAATTAGTACTCACATTCATACCTATTAATAATTTTTGTATCCAAAATGCATTTGTTTTAAAGGCAGCTTCCCAAATTGTAAAAGCACAGGCCCCTCACAACTTGGATCTACTCTGACTGACTGACAGCCTTAATCTACAACAATGGTAGGCATGCGAGGTCAACTAGTACAGCCCACATGAAAATGAGCACCCTGGAGGGAACTGCTCTAGAATAAACATGCTGTCAAATCAAAATAAAAACACTCTTGCCAACAGTCATTTGCCTTATGCAGGCAATGGCCTTAACCAAAGTTGCTGACTTACTGAAATTTCTCCTGAAAGAAAAGTTGGCTCAATGGAGTAAAGTCATCTGGATGACCTGTGCTAGGACACATTCTCTGACCATGAGGTGGCCCTTCTCTCAGGCCACTGCAGACTACTACATACTGGAGAAGGTTCACAGTCTTCTCTTATTTGAACAGAAACTACTGCATTGAGGGATAAAAGGAGTAAGGGCACCACCAGACCCAAATAGCAGCACTGGGCAAATAAAAAGCAGCTGTGCAACTCTGTCCCAAAACAGCGATCAAGTAAGACCAAGCTCTCCTCCCATACTTACAGTCCGCTTTTAACCCACACAGACTGGGTGTAGAAGTGCAGGTCCTTGTTCAGAACAGAGTTCACAGCCTCTTCTAGATGTAACTCTCTTCCCTCACAATGTTCCAGAGCAAACAGGCTGATGGAAGGTTCCTCAAAAACCTAATGGCACGGAAAAGAGAAAGCATCACCATAAGGGGCGGCCATACCTCACTGACATCTCGGTCTGAACGCAGGGTCCCCTGGATCCACTGTCTTCTCAGATGCACGGAGTTTACTGCTCTGTCTTCTAAGGATGGTAGAGTCAAAACTTCACTGGCAAGATTAGATTCTATCAATAATTTTAATATGCTTTTTGTAAATTAAATTTGAACCTATCAGAAAAGCAATCAATCTCATAATAAAAATGGACATAATAAAAAGTGACACCTGGTTTGAAATCTCATACTAAGGTCTTGTGGTGCTGTAATATGGACTACAAGCCAGTCCTGTGAATGCTCTTAGCTGGCAACAGAATAAATATGGAATGGCATGGGACCCTCATTTCCCAGGGGCTCACAGGAGCAATCACGGGGAATGTAAGACTTTATGGCTCTAACCTCTTAAAAAACATTCCTAGGGGGGAGGAAAAAGGCAACTTTAATTTAAAAAAATAGCTAGAATGCACAGAAACAGTGGTGACTTCTGCATTAAAAGTATTCCCTCAACCCATTACGTTAGACGAGAATAGACTCAATATTGCTCTTTTTTCATTCATTAGTATATGTAAGATACCATGCTAAGAGACTTTTGGGGGATGAGAAATAAAAACAAGGCACCATCCTTGTGTCTGGGGCATTATTAACAAGTAGCTAAATTAAGAAAACTGCACAGATATTGTAACATAACCCACGGTAGAAAAGGATATGTCCTTTAAGGGCGCTCATTAAAAGGCTAAATTATTTTAGCAGAAGGGAGCAGGATTCAAGGCAGCTTCATGGATGTGGTGGCGTGTGAGCTCAGTCTCAAAGGATGCAAGGGATTTGTAAGGCAGACAGAGAACAGAGGGAAGGCACTGTACGCAAAGCAAGGGAGACAGAAACGCATGGGACATGGAGGAACGGCGAGTAGACCCATTTTACCAGAAGACAGGGTCCAACAGGAAATAGTGTCAAGTGTTCCCACTGTCTGTTACCGTGCATGGAGCTGCTTTGCCCCACACTGACAGGGAAGAGACAGACTTATTGCCAATGGGGAGAGTCCTTGAAGCTTCTCAACTAAGGACTGAGAGTGGGCAGCGGTATCTGCAACTTGGCACATGAGAAGCAGAGCACAAGGAGCAAGGACTGTGGAGGGTCAAAGGACAGTGAATAAACAGAAAGCAACTGGCTCTCCCAAGTGACCTTACATGAGAGCAAAATGACTTATCAAAGAGCTTTTCCTTGCAGCAGTGCTGGAAACAGTGAAAGATGGGGGATGATTTAAATCCCCATCAAGAGGGGACTGGTTAAATAAATTAGGGTACATTCCCAGAAGAATCCTATGTATCTGTAAACAAAAAAGAATGAGGAACTCTTTGTAGAAAGAGAACCAGGATCTATTCTTCAGAGGCAAATACAAAGTGAAGAACAGTGTAAAATAGCATATTTCATATGCTACCATTTTGTAGAAAAGGAAAATTTATGCACACACATGAATTATATACACATTTAAAATTTTCTAAAAAAAAATAAATATGACGGCATCTGAGAAGATAAATAGCACAAATTGGGGCAGAGTTTTTCACTTTGGGTACTTTTTGATTTTTGAACCATGGGAATATATTATTCAAAAATTTAAATTGGTGATTATTATGCATATGTTTGCATTGTGTATATACATTTTTTTTACAGCCTTAAGGGAATTTATTTGGCAACAACTTGAGTAAAGAATAGAGAGAATGGAAGTAATAGCACCAGTATCCTAGTAGGATACATGAAAGCAAAGAAAAAGAGAACCAGAGGGATGGGAGGAAGGTGAAGAATGAGGGATGGTCAGGAAAGCCATCATGGTGGTAAAATAGACACACCAAGGCAAGCAAATGGAATGAGTAAGTGAGGGAAAAGGTGTGAAAAGCTGTAGCTGGGAACATGGTGGCATAATTTGCCACATATAAGGAAGTCAGGAAGAAAAGTATGCCCAGGAGTTAAGAACTTATATTTAGAACTGGATGTTTTAATTTTGAGATAGAGGCAGGATAATCTTAACAGAGATGCCCAACACACACTGGACCTTTTGATCTGGAATTTAGGGAAAAGACCAGGCATAGAGAGGCTGAGTTTAGCAACTCCCAGAATTTGGGTAATAATTGGAAGCAGAGGTGAGAAAACGGAAATGGAAGGAGGACACAGGACTACAGGGAAATACACTGGTGAGTGGGAATGAAAGACAGAAGGTGGAGGTGATGGAACGAATGAAATGGGTGAGAAGAACCAAAACAGAGCCCCTTTACATGATGGAAGTAAACGGGAGAGGAAATTGTAAGGAAGGTTTGTCCCACAGTATCAAACTCTTCCCACGTTGAGGAAGAGGGCGACTGAGAGGAGGCTGTTTGGATTTTGCACTCGGGAGGTAGTGGTAATCCTATGAGAGCTGGTTCAAGGACAGGTCAGAGATAAGGGGTGGAGTCTAGGTTATAAAGATTGAGGAACAAGGGGTGAGAAATTGTAGACATGGTACACAGACTATTCCTTAGAGAAATCTGCCCTCCCTGTTGTTCTTAAAAACCATCTTGGCTATTCTGGACCCATATCTTTGCCAGATTAAATGTAGAATAAGCTTATCATGTTTTACTCTCTCACCTCTCCCGCCAACTCCATCTCTCAAAGAGACAAAAGACCTATAAGCCTAAAATACTATTAATTTGGGGAAGACCATATGCTTATAATATTGAGACATTTTATCTATAAAAGATTATATTGTTTCATCTTTTATGTCCTTCAATAATGTTTTTTATAATTTTCATCAAAAAAATCTTACTGGTATGTGTTAGATTTATTCCTAATCACCCAATAGTTTAAGTGCTAATTATCTTGTATCCAGCAACTTTTAAAAAATTCACATTAATCCTAATAATTTATAATTTAAACTGTGAATGCTCTTCTCAGTTTTGTTTTCCTTTATATTATTTTTTGCTTCAATCTTATTTTTTAGATTTTTATTTTATTGGCTGGGATTCCAGAATACTACTGAATAGAGTAGTGATAATAGAGATCTTTGTCTTCTGTCTTAATTTAAAAAGAAGTACTTCAAATGTCACACAAGGAAGTGTGATGTTTACTGTAGGTTTCTGTTGGCCTTAATTTTCAAAATGTGCACATTAGTTAATACCATTAACTATTTAACTATTAAACTAAAAGCTTTAATAGTAACCAATTCATTGTGAAGCTGGATTTATAGTCTTCCTCTTTTTGTAGCTGTGCCTCCTCAGTATCCTCACACAGAAGGAATCACTGTCTTGCCAATTCTTATTCTACCCTCTTAAGATCATTTATGTCATCACAGTCTTAATTTCATCTGAAGTGTTTCTACAGCCTCTTGTTAAAATGTTTCTGTGGCTTTGACTGCTTGTAACTGCCAGGACCAGATTATTACTTCAAAAAAGGCCAAACTTCCATGCCAACCCCCCAGAGAGACATTGCTGTAGCAACAAGCAGACTGCTGCTCCCGTGGAAATGCAACACGGCATGTTTATCCCACACGCTAGTGGGCCAGTGCTTAAATGTCTTCCAAGGTAGTTTGAAACTCACAGTTACCTTCCTTCTTAGGTCAATCAACAGTTACTCATGTATCCTGCTCTTGTCTATACGTACCACTACTTTTTAATATCCAGCCTAACTTTAAACCATTTCATCAGTAGATGGCCACTGTAAGTTATTATTTTTTAAATTAGATTCCCCACTCACCCCCAACTTCTAAAGCTACTATTACAACCTTGTAAGTGCATAAGACAAAGTACAACCCGTCTTATAGAATGAGCTGAAGTGGAAGAACAAACCTTATATAAGTACTGATTGTAATGTTTAGGCCTGAACCAATTAGTTTATTTGGTCTACTTATTATGTAACGGATTCTTGATATTTTTATGGCACTGTGCTAAGTAGAGAGGACACAGGGGTGAAATAATTCAAAGCTACAATAAATACAGATCATGCCCTAAGTGGCTTCACAGGTTGAGTAGGTGTGATGAAAGGTAGAAAGTCAAAAGCATCTTGAGATACAGAGAAAGAATACTCAGGGCAGAGGAAAATCATGTCAAGAAATGAAGATCATTAAAGACTTTCTAGAATCAGGGTCCTTTCATCTACATCTTAAAGGATTTAGATAGGGGAAAGAAAAAGTATATTTTAAGTTGCCACGTGAAGAACGTAAATAGAGAAAGTTGAAGGAAGATATTGGGAAGGGGGAGGAGTGCTTTGTGAATAAGATAAATAAAGATTGAGCAACAATATTGGAAATATAGCTCGGACACTATCTCAGAGTCTGGACTTTATCAGAAGGTTACATGCTCAAAGCTGCAAATAAGATGAACTGAAGAAGAAAGAGCCAAAAGAAGAAAATCACTTCAGTGACCATCACAATAGTTCGGGAAAGACAGAATGAGGCTCTAAACTTGGTCATGGAACTGGGAGGAGATGACAAGAAAAATTTAAGACATGTCATATGTGAAACTATAAAAATACTAGAAGAAAATCTAGGGAAAACTCTTCTAGACATTGGTCTAGGCAAAGAATTCATGGCCAAGTCCTCAAAGCACAGGCAATAAAAACAAAAACAAATGGGACTTAACTAAACTACAAAGCTTCTGCACAGAAAAATAAATAATCAACAGAGTGAACAGACAACCTGCAGAATGGGAGAAAATACCTGCAAACTATATATCCAACGGGGGACTAATATCTAGTATTTACAGGAACTCAAACAACTCAACAACAATGAAAAAGCAACTAACTTCATTAAAAAGTGGGCTAAGGACATGAATATGCATTTTTCAAGATGACAAATGGCAAAAAAGCATAAAAAAATGTTCAACATCACTAATCATCAGAAAAATGAAAATTAAAGCCACTATGAGATATGATCTTATACTAATCAGCATGGCTATTAATAACAAGACAAAAATAACAGATGTTGGCAAAGATGCA